ATTAAAGGATTTTTCAAACATGTATGAAATAATCAAAGCAACACTCCAGGAATGTTTTTGATGAGGGAATAACATAACATAATCTAAAGTTTAAAAGAGTCAATATGGCATAATACTGCCCCTTTAAAGGCACAATATGTAAAGAAGTGTTGTGGTGACTGATGGATGATGGTCTTACCTGCAAGTCAGCTCCCACATCAGATTCTGCCTGGGGCCCTATGACGGCATTTGTTTATGTGCTTTTAGGTAAGTTATTAAGGTGACGACCAACATTTGAGCTTTCAAGAACTCTCTCAAATCTTTAATGTTTAAGATTTACGAAGCCCATCACCGCTGTATTCTGCAGTTACTTATTCACAGAAACGTCAGTGTGAATTTATGAAGATGCTAACCTCACACACACACACAAGCCCATTGATCATTATGCTGCTACCTTGTCACAGTCATTTGGAGAAACATAAAGAAGAGGAGGAACAGCTGAAGCAGAAGTTCTACGATGAGTTTCCCTCATGTCACCGCCGAGGTCCGTGTGCGCCTCTGCCGTTCCTGAGTGTTTTTGCTGGTGGAGACCACAGGCAAAGGGTTTCCACGGGCGACATCCAGAGGTTCTTCAGGGGGTCCCCGGGCGGTGATTGCTTTTCCAGCTCTATCACACACACACATGCTACAAAATATATTTACGTTTTGCTCCATCGTGTTATTTTTCAAAGAAACACACAAATATCACTCTGTCATGGATTCTAAACACTTTTAAGAAAAAATATGCATTTGCTTTAACACAATATGTGCACTTTTGTACTAAAGTGGAACATATTCTGCAGACATTAAATGTCAGAATGTTTGATTTTTTCTTTCAGTTAAGCAGTCTACAGCATGTTAGATAATAGTTTATGTGCTGCTCCTTGCTCATTGTCATGACCTCTTACTGGTTTGCAACATCATCCTGAAGTTCATAAAAATCATCGGTATAACCTCATGCTAATGCATATGAACTAATTTGATCAGATGAAAGAGACAAAACAGAGAAGTTTAGATTAACTCCATTACAATGTACATTTTCCTTCCATAAAAGCGGGTTTATTATTCTGTGGTTCCATTGTTGCTGCTTTTGTTTATTATTCCAATGTAGTTCTTTGAGAAAGTAGTATGATCTAGAGAGAGTGAATTTTAACTTTTCCGTTAAGCAGGAGAACGTGTTTCCGTTTTAGGCTGTTATCAGCCAAAACTAAGCCAATGAGATACCAAACATATGCACAAACAGGAGAATCTGAATAAAAATAGAATAGAATAAAAAAATGATATCCTCATTTGTTTTTACTTCCTGGATAAGTTGTTGGCTTAAAACTGAGGAAAAATCTACATTCGGTTTTCTCTGAATATCAGAATATTATTGGATTTTTGATTCAAACATGTCAATCAACTGAAAATTGTGTTCATGTGTTCATGCACTCAATAATGTGTCATGTCTGCTTTTGCATGAATTTTGCACCGCTTGGCATAGAATGAATTAGTCCAGGCTGCTTTAATAAAGCAACCAGGGCTAATCAATCAGCTTGTTTTCGTTGTTGTCTCAGTCATCTTACTTTTGACAGCACTCCATAGATTCTCTATCAGGTTTATGTCAAGTCGCTTGCTGGCTAATCAAACACAGTTATTCCCAATGGAAGTCGTATCTGCTTCCTGTTAGGTGGTGAAGGATTGATAAGCATCTCCTACAATATTTTGAAAATGTTATTTAAAATTATAAAGACTGGAATTTTTACAGACCGTCATGGAGAGTCATTTATCACAGAAACCTGTAACTTTGTTCTATTTAAATTATGCAATGTTATGTTATAACCACAATGCCACACAATTCATTGACTTGAGTTAACTGGTTTGTCTCACCCGTCTCATCGTCTTCATTTGACGTTTCCAACCGCGAGCTCGTTCTTGTGAAAAAGTTGCTAAGTTTCGCACGTCTAGCTGCGTATTTTTCCAGACCTTCCCTGTTTTTCTTCTTCGTTTCACTGTTGCTACTTTTTATTCTTCTTCTTCTTCTTGAAATTTATGGGTGGTTGGCAAGAAACATTTCACTGTTGCTCTTTCTACTTTTCATCTTTTAAAAAGAGCTCTGACGTCTTAAATTGTATTGGCGGTCAGCAAACAGCTGAAGGAAGCATTACCGCCACCAACCGGAAAGGAGTGTGGACTGCAGCGTTTAGCTTTTAACTCACAGCACAATAACAGCGTTCAAGCAATAGCCGTGCCGCCTAGTGGTCATAGTCATTACAACATGTAGCGAGTGCCATGACTCTACATCAGCCCGATCCAAAGAAAAATTATGAATGAATGAATGAATGAATGAATGAATGAATGAATGAATGAATGAATGAATGAATGAATGAATGAATGAATGAAACTAGCCCTTTTTACCCAGAAGTGACATTGTAGACACAGTGATCCGCTCGCCACACCACAATATGTATGCAAAGGGGAAAAAAAGTTTAAAAAGTATATTTACAAATATATTTTTGATAAAAATCGGCTGCAATACAAGTATGAAGCTTGACTCTAAACGTTTTTGAAAAGTAATTAAAAAGTAATTGAAAATAATAATTGTAAACAAACACATTGCCAACATTGATAACCAAATAATGTTTATAGCTGTGATTTATATCATTATTAATGTGCTTCATCAGATTTAATATAATGAGAAAAACTCAGTAAAAATCATTTGAGGTTTGACTGAAGCAAAGACTTAAGATAAAGTTAAAAAGCACAATCCAATCAGTGTGGAAACCATCATTTGAACAGGCCAGTTCTGAACACAGCCTCAGTTTCAACATTAAAAGTGAGGAAAAGAACATGAAGCTGTGAGAATCAACAGCTTCATGTTGTTTCAGCGGCACGTTTGAGTTGTGCTGATGGCAGATATATCAGACTTCAGTTGAGCTCAAACAGATACGAGCCACAGACGGTTCCAGCATATTATAACAGAGCAGGTTGAACCATTTAAAACTATGAGTGAATAATCTGCAAGGACCAATGGTGTTGTGTAAATTAACCCATCACAGAACATTTAATTCAGTTTATTTATAGTGAACTAATAACTTTACGCTTTATCAAAACGGAAAGTTTTGAGCCCTGTCTTAAAAGTAGATGAGGTGTCTGTCTGAAGGATCTGCTTCCCATTCTACTTTTTGAAATTCTAAGAACCAGCAGTAAACCTGCAGTCTGAGAGCAAAGTGCTCTGTTAGGAACATATGGACCAATCATATCTCTGATGTATGATGGGGCTGATTATTAAGGGCTGTATCTTTGTTTTTGTACTTCCTGGTTGTAAAGAACTGGAGTAGTTCAACCTTGAAGTAACAAATGCATGGACTGGCTAGCTTTACAGCATCACTCCTGGATATTAAATTTCAAATTGTAACAACATTCCAGAGGTAAAAGAAAGAAATCCCATAAGCCTATTGATCATGGGATTTAAATGAGACATAAGGAAAAAAAAAAAAAAGAGACCAAATGAATTCCATCCAGATTAAGTGACTGATTTTTGTCTTGTCAGAATTTAAAAGCAGAAAATTTTGAATCTTGAAGATATTCTTGTATTCAACTTATCATGTGTATGCTAAAGAGAATTGGCTCAAGCATAGAGCCCTGTGGTACTCCACAGAGTGTGCGACGTGAACAAATCGGAATCTGTCGGATGGATACAATTTAAACTTGTGTCAAAAGCAGCACTGAGCTCCAGCAGGACAAGACCAGACACACGTCCATTATCTGAACCCAAGAGAGCAGCATTTGAAACTTTCAGAAGTGCTGATTCGGTGCTACGATGAGCTCTGGAACCTGAGCGAAGCTCTGCTGGTTCATGCAGATCTTCAGCCTTTAGATCCTCACACACTTGATTAACAACTAGTTTCTCAAGAATTTTAAATAGGAAAAAAAGATTAAATATATTATTTAATCTTTATTAACATGAGTTAATTTATTAATTAGTGTTAATAAATTAACACGAGTTAATTTATTAACTTGCGTTTCAATTCATGGTGTAAAATTATGGAACAGGTTAAGTGAGGAGTTAAAACAAAATCAAAATTTAATGCAATTTAAAAGGAAATATAAAGAGGTCATTTTCACAAAATATAGAAATGTAGGTGAGAGATAGCACTAATGTGTACATGTAAATTGAGGCTAACGCATATGAGTGTGTGGGTATGGATGTATATATTTAGACATGTGTAAACCCAGATAAAATGGAAAATTAATTAACCTATGTTTTTGTTTTATTTATTATTATTATTACTTAATAATGACGGTCCATCTGAAAAAATGTAATGAGTTTATGGGGTAGGAGTTTGTACGGTTTTTGTTTCTTCCTGCTCCTTTTCAACCATGTTAAGATTATTGTGGTACAAAAATATGTATTTTGTATTCCTCATTCATGTGTGTGATTTTATACATCATGTTTGAAATAAATAAATGAAAAAAAAATGTTGATCAAGAGACAGTTTAAGTAAAGATTCATTCACAGGTACCTTAGAAAGCTCAGGGTGAGAAACCGTTTACATTCGTTTTTGCTTAAAGTTTTTTTTTTTTTTTTTTTTTCCTAAATCATTTTTTGGGAAAAAAAAAAAAAAAAAAAAAAGACTTAGGCCATTATTTTAGGATGATGTCTAACATTTGGGAAATAATCAAAGGGAACACTTCCTTCAGCCGATAGGTTGGGTCAGGGTCTAACATGCAAGATAAAGATTTAGATGAAGCTAATGTTTTCGATAACTCAGAAAGTTTGACTTAATCAAAACGATCCAAACACAGATCAGGATCCACCTTCTGTGCCGGATGAAGGAATCACATTCAGGAAAATTGCCAACAATTTTTTATTTTTATCACCTTCAACTTTATAAGGTCATTACTGCTGAGAGCTTTAGAAACTGATGGCTCTACAGAGCCTCTGCTTTGTGTAAGTTTGGCAATTGTACTAAAAAAAAAAAAACAAGACAAACTAATTTTTCTCCTTCTCCTCTATTAGTTATTTAAAATATACAGCTCTAGCTTGGTGAAGCCTCTTTTTACACACCAGCAGACACTTTTTCCAGTTGAACCAGGACTCCTCTACACGTGCGGAGAGCCGATTACTCTCCAATTTCCCAGCGCTGCACTTTAAAAGCACGCTGCTCTGAGTTTAAACGGGAGTCTCCCGACATTACGACTGTACCTCACTGAGTCGACTTCAAGGCACATTTTCTCCCCTCAAAGATAAACATGTTCCCAAGTTAAACTGAGACATGATTGATTCAGACACACAGCTGCGCAGTGATGGAACATTTTATCACGCTTTGAGGGAGGAATCAACAAACATTTTCACACATAACAACAGGAACAGATGTTGCCTTTAGAGGAAGATTACACTGTTTTGTGTTTTCACACACAAAAAAATTAAACAAGTCAAGGAGAACCTAAAAGCCCATTTCCTTGCTCTTTTTCCCCCCGATTTTGTTGCATTCTCCCCCCACCCCGTACCCCTCTCCTGTTGGAGAATAACTAAACTTTAGCAGAAAATGATTCATTGCTGCGTCTGGTTGCCGTCAGCTTTGCAATGCAGTGTTTGTTAAACACCTGCAAAACTTCACCTGTGGCTTTTTGAATTGACGAGGACGAGCTTGATGCAAAGTTTTTGTGAAGAGACAAAAAGGATCCAGAACTTACAGCTACAACCCTAAAACACAGTAACATCCAACTGGCATACTGTCTGCACTGCAAAAAAAAAAAAAACAAAAAAAAAAAAACTAAACAAAGCAATAACTTACCAAGTATTTTTCGTCTGGTTTCTAGTACATTTTCTTAGTACACTTGAAATAAGACAAAAATAACTTACAAGTAACTTTTCAGCATGACATAGGAGCTTGTTTTAAGTCAGTAATTTCTTAATATTAATGAAAAATTACTAGTTTCATTGGCAGATGAATTCATTTATAATAAGGCATTTTTTCCATAAGTGAAATACTATTAAGTAATTATTGACTTACAGCAAGTTCCTATATTTTGTTGAAAGGTTATTTGTAAGTTAGCTGTGTATTGCTTCAAGTGAACTAAGATATTTGCAGTAGAAACAAGGGCAGAAATACCTGGTAAGGTTTTGTTTCTGCAGTGTGTGGTTTCATGTTGTTCATTATATTTTTGAGTGTGTGAGATAAGATGATTGGATCTGTTTTAATAAAAGGCAACTTTTTTTTTTAAGAGTACACCAATAATAACATTCTGATTATTGTTTGAGTGAGATTTAATGGAGGATTTTAAGATTTTTCCAATAATACAATATTATTTTATCATTGTTTTCCTTATATGTTTCAATTGTTATATTTTGAAATATATGGGAATATTTGAACGCTAGAACGTGTGTCTAGGGAATAAAACAAAATCTAAATTGAATTCACTACAAATCCCAAAAACAGTCACTCAGATTATGAGATTGACCACCAGTCTGTTCTTTAATTTAACCAAAGTGTCAGCGCGCTAACTGTATTGGTTTCATAAAGTCGCATGCTGCCTCCTAGTGGTTGGAGACGATGCATGCGTAGCACAGACATTCATCTTCCTCTTTCAAAATTTGGGAAAATAAAATCAAAACCAAGTTAACATAATAGATTACGAATTGTGTTCAAGTTATCTTTTTACTTGTAAGTTACATGACAGGTGAAACTGGCATAAATATAGTGTCTGATATTATATATATTCATGTATTTAAAACAAACAAAAAAAAACATTTGTTGAAACTTATCCTAGTTGTTTATATTTATACTTCACAGTGTGTTATTCAACTCAATATTAAATATACTTATAATATTATACACTATACAAATGAAATGAACATCATTCTAAAAATGTCCAAGTCAATTTTAATTTAGTTTGGTTGACCTAAAGAAATAAACTAATGTTTGTTGGTTTAAAAAACCCAAACAAACAACGTTATTTATGGCCATATACATTTAATGCAGAATAAAAATATTACAAACATACACATATTGAGGTCCAATGTGAACCGCATCTGGTGCTCTCCTGACTCATTAATGAAATACATGTAGTTACACATAAAGGTCACATGAGACAAACCAGTTATTTTCTTAATGCAGCAGCAATAACGTAGCAGACAGACTGAATTATTATTTGTTTTCTTTTTACACGGCAAGAAAATTTTCAGATTATACTGTTATTTGGATGGCTATCATTCCTAACAGGTTATAAATATTTCATTTATGGAGGAATTTAACAACAAACCGGATGATTTTCCACATGACCAGCCTTTACATACTATTATAATTTCAACAAAGTAGAAACTACGAAAAGTCAATAACTTAAAACGCAGGAGCTAGCTCTCTTAGTGCCTTCCCTTTGAAGGCTAACATCTGCTAAAAGCAGATCTAACAGGCTGTTAGATGTTAGCCAACATCTGCTAGCTGTTTCAGAGCTAACAGCTAGCTGAATTAAACCACAAGCAGTCTTCTGCCACAAATCAAACTTCATTCAAGCACTATCCAGCAAAACTAAACATTCCCATTCAGCAGACAGCGCTGCACATCCTGTCATCTACTTTACACTTGTACATCAGCAACAACAACCAAACTGAAACGTGACGAAAGACTAAATCCTCAGAAAAGCCATGAAACACTATAGGTTGTTTTGGGGATTGGAATAGTTTTAAGATGAAACAAATCTGTGTAATTATGGCAAATATCATGGAAGATTAGTTATCTGCTGATGACCCCTGTGCAGGAATAAACTTATGATAAAAAAAATTCTGAACTTGATTAGGATTCAACTGAACCGGTGGAAGAAAGAAAAAAGTTGTCTTTATCCTGAAACCGAAAGATACACAGAACTACTGGCACAAAAGGTAAAAAAAATCTACCTTAAAACTAAAACAACTCATTTGAGACCATTTATTCAATCTGTGCCAAATCAAACATTAGGATTTGCCACAATATTTAGCACTTTTACCTGTTTAAAAAAAACTAATTTAACTGAAGCACTCTTTTCATTTGTACCATTGGTTAAATTGATCAGACTGTCCAGCAAACGTTAAGTGGACTGTAAATATGACCCCTAATTTCTATTTGCCACTCTGAAAAATGGGAAAGATAAGTGAACCCATGATTTAGGAAAGGCAGGAAACGGCCAAAAGAAAACAGCAGCTGACCAAAACTTGCACATTAGGTGAATGAGAAATCTCAAAATTCATGCCCAATCTCCAGCACTGGTGCAAAGGGAACTGCAACAAGGTGTGTCTTGATGTGAACATGCTAGCATAAGTTGTTTGTAAACATTTTCACCAGGGTGCCAGTAACTGTGGCATTCCTAAAGATAAAGCACAGAAATTCCTGGTCATAATTTCTTCTGACAATCTTTTTGTAGAGTCTGAGCAAAATAACTCAGAATTAAATCTTGCTGTTTTTTTTTTTTTGGTTGTTTTTTGTTTTTTAACCATTATGCATTACAGAATACATACAGTATTGAATACGTTATGCAAGTAAGGAAATACGAGTCAAATACTGAGAATGTTGAGGCACAAAGTGAACAGGAGAAGACAAGAACAAGGTTAAAACTAAACTGGAGTACTGAAGTAAATCTCATCACAGACAATGGTGGATCATTCTCTCTCTCTCTTCTACACACACACACACACACACACACACACACACACACACACACACACAGTATCGATGTCATCCTAGGAATTGACAGTGATCAGAGGAAGCAGCTTGTGAAAACAAGGTGGTGCCGGTTTCCAGGAGCATCATGCGTCCTTCTTGCTTCCCCAGCTGAACAGTCTGAATTTCTGAGACTTTCTCTTGGTTTTGTCCTTCTTTATGTCTGGGAGGAAAAGAGAAAAACAAAATCAAAATAGGCCTTTAAACAGAGTAAAGAAAAAAATAAATAACTACTGAAAGTTTGTCATGAACTTCATGAATACATTAAAGTGAAATGGCTCATCTTTAGCCCACGTTCCACGTTTAGTCGCCAACCTTTCACCGAGTTTCAATAAATCTGCACAACATTCCGCTCCGGGTTCCTGATCATGAATTGCAAATGACCAACAGAGTTTTCAAAAGGGTCAAATTAACCGGCCGTGTTAACCATTTTGTCTAACAAAGATGCGGGAAAAGCTTTTTTTTTTTTTTTTTCTAACGTTTGATTCCATTTTCCATTAGCAGACATTAAATCAAATTAGCTGAAAACATCACCCGACAACACTCGTTAAAAATGCACCGTAAGTTCACAAAGACAAACTTTTCCCCAAGTTCTATCCATTTCAGCCAAACCTGAAATCTGTTCACTCGGATGCCGACTAAAATCACAGCGACGACGAGGTTTTGATTAATAATGAGCATAATGGAGAGAGGGGCTGGTGGAGACACTCACTGAAATTCATCATCATCTTGTTTAGCTCCTCATCCTCCTCTTCCTCCCTGTAGAAAAAAAACAAGCAGAAAGAGCAAACAAATTTAGAATGAGTGTGTGTGGAAACACTCCATTTGTGTAGTGTTAGGAGAAATATGAGCATTCTGCATGAGGATCGTATTCAGAGCTCTGTGGTTTACATCAGATCAATACCGTAGCTTTAAAAAAGAAAAAGAAAAAAGGAGGACATACCTGAGCCTGTCCTCATCCAGACCTTCTACGATGGCGTTTCTATCGTTGACGATCTCTAAGAGTTTGTCCATGAGCTGCTTTTCCCTCTGTCTGTCCCGGAACGTTTTTAAATGTTCTGGAAACACGACAGTATTTCAGTCACGCCGCAGAACTCGGGGTTTTTTCACTGAGATTGCTCCTCTACAGAACTCACCTGGTTTATCCATCAGCCTCCTGAGCTCCTGCTCCACACTGGGCTGCTCTTCTTCCAGATCCTGAGTTCGTCCTCTGCAGACACGAGAAAAGGGAATAAACAAACAAACAAACAAAAACAAGCTCATTTAAAACAAATTGCAAAGAATTTCTAGCTTGATCTGCCTTGAATCAGAAGCTATTATGAACTGCTGTAACAACCTTTATTTAGTTAGTTTGTTGTTGTAGATAAGTTCTGCCTTACCTACTTCATTTTTATATTAAGTCGGTATGGCAACATTTACTGGGTTATCTTGGATTCAAACAGTTAGCCTCCCTGCACGACAGTGAAAACGCATCATGATGTCAAATTAGCCAAAATCTGGATGGTTTATCATCTGTCCACAACAAAAACTATCTAACCAAGCATAAAAATGCTTAATGTAGCATATAATCAACATTCTTTATCAAAGAAAAAAAAAATTCCATCATGCTCCTAAAGATCTGGGGAAAACTACACACAGCTCCAAACTGCCCCTATAGGCCGGTTGAAAAATGTTCCTGCTATCAAACGTAGCAACAGGTTAAATTTCTGGGATCTGTGATGAACCTGCGCCTGCTCACTCCCTCTCGCACTATCTATACAGACTGCTACAAATGCTAAGGCTAGTTAGCACGACCACCGATGTCGGTGGATAAACAGTTTTCCTGGAACAGTAAGTTGTTTCTCCGTCATTTGTATATTGAGCCGCACATACATGAGGTTGGTTGACAGCGCTAAGACCCTCCCCTTCGCTCTGATTGGTTGTTTTGACCAGGTTTGTGGCACAGTTTTGCAGACTGAGGTGGTGGAGGAGTTGATTTTTTTTTCCACAGATCATCTCTTATACTGTGATGCAAGGGCGTAGGTTCGGTCTAAGTTTTGGTGGGGACCTTGGTGGGGACCTTGACCCCCCCCGCAGCACAGTGAAATGCCCAAGAGCCTGCCTCCTATACAGCAAACAAAGCGTAACCTGGTTTGTAGTCACACTAGCTTAACTTAATTTAAGACTAACACTTCAAATGCCATATTTACTGAGATAATTTCACAGTATATTTCATATCTGAGAACTAACACCTCACCTGGAGCCCTGAAGCTCCAGCCACCTCTCCATCGTTCTGCTCTGCCCCTTGCTCTGCTGTCTGAGCATCCTATGTGAAAAAATATTTCATAATTAACAGACCTATTCTACCTCACATTCAGTGCTGACCTTACTAAACACCGGACTTTACAACAAATGCGTTGCGTGATAGATATCTAACTTATGGGTCCACTCACTGTACTTACAGCCGACGAAACGAAAAAACTTCTAATGTCTGTCCTTTTCTTTTTTGGTGGCGACATGGTCTCAGAGATTCAGAAGGAGACGCGTGTGCCCAGCTAGCCGCCGCCTTTTGCCGCTAATCAAAGAACGTCCGACGATTCAACTGACTCCCCCTCCCCCCACCCCCCGACACGGTCTCGGAGGCTCATAATAAATGTCAAACTAAGAAGCTTCCGTTTCGCACCGCCTGTTGCTGCTAATCAAAGATCGTAGATCCACGTTCTTTGAGCCAATATGGCAAAAATTGGTCGGTACTTTTTCATATCCCGTGAATATTGGTCGGGACATGTCCCTACCGTCCCTACCCAAACCTACGCCCATGCTGTGATGACATGGCGACAGTTTTAATATGGAAGAAACATGTTTCTGTAAGTTACGTACTGCACCTTTAAGGATGCGTCGACACCCTGGTAAAAATATATTCCTCTACTATGATCCTTTCAAAGCTACGATACAACAGACTGTGCTAAATGTGGATTTTGGATCTGCTACCAACAATTTTTTGATGTTTTTTTTATTTTTTTTTGAGATTACAACAAAGTACTATTTAGTTTATAGAGTTTTTGATGACACCCAGTACGTCCAAGGTCGTAAATTTGTTTTTCTGAACCACATTCTGATTCCAGCTACTGTTTGTTCAGCGTGGCCAGTAGGGGGCTTCAGCTGCCTTGTTCCTCGCTGTGGGACAGAGGAGGGAGGACACTGGGACCTCAAACTGTCGACCTTCTGGCCACAAGTCTGTTCCGCTAATTACTGAAAACCCTTTTTTCTTAACCCGTGTGTGTGCGTGTGTGCGCGTGTGTGTGTGTGTGTACTCACATATACACGAGCTCCGACTCACGACGCATGGCCACCTGCTTGTTTCTGATCAAGGTGAACCATTCGACCATGAGCTCGTCTTCGTCGTCGTCGTCGCCGCCGCCGCCCTCTGTCATACAACAGACACGAGGCCGATCAGAGGCGCGTTCCCTTCCCTTTACATTTCCCTCCAGACGTGCATTCTGGGAGTCGGTGGCTCACCTTCCTCAGTCTTGCGCAGCCTCAACTCCAGCTCCACTCCTCTCCTCTCCAGTTCGTTTAGGTTTTCTTCGATCTCCTTCAGCTCCCGGATGATGTCCTCTTTGGGGATGTAGCCGGGCTTCGTCTGCAGATGTTCGCATACGTGAGCAAAGTTTTGTGCAAAGTTTAAAAAAAAAAAAAAAAAATTCACAGATTTAACTCGTTTATTTTTTTAGATGTGCCTTCTGGGTTTTTTAATGGCAAAGATTGCACTCAGACTTTACTCATCTTTCCAAATTAAAAAAAAACTTCTCTTTTTACATCTGTTTTTGTTTAACCTTGAGTCAGTTTTATCTTGAAAGGCGTATCCCCCAGTGTATTAAAAACCTGGAGGGCCACCAGGCTTTTCTTGTACCCCCACTAGGCTATACATTGGTTATTCATTTAAGTCTTTTTAAAATATTTGCATTTTTTAAGATTTTATAGTTGTTGTTTAGGTATTAACCTTCCAATCTTTCAATAACACATAATTATCAAGTGATATTTTAAAATTTCCTGTCAATTTTAAACATTTTTTAACTCAAAAACACGATGGGTCACTGGATGAATGACAGCCCCAACATCCTACCACCGGGCTTAGCAAGTTATCTGGGGGAACCTCAGAACATTTATCACTTGAACTGGAAAATATTTAAAATATCCGAAATAAATAAATGGAAACATTAAATAAAATGGACAGTGATGTCTAAACAAAACTGAGACCAAAGAACCAAACTGAAGACTTTGATCATCCAGTTTTTGATAGAAAGAGAGAAAGGAGAAAAACAATAAATCATGCAAATGGATATGATTGAGTTTGTTTTAATTTGTCATGCGATGAACTGATTTACTGATTACTGTGACGGGCCTAATTCTTAAGGCTCATACCTTAGCATTCTTTGACTCGGACTTGGCGGCGCTGGGAATTTGTTCTTTCGGCCCATTCTGAGATTCTGATTAGAGATCAAATTCAAAATGTGAATGCAACATTGATTATTCTCAACTTCTTTAACAACTGAAAACTGAAATCCCAGTGCAGCTGATGTCGCCGTTACCCTTTGACACAGAAATGATGGTGCTGACCGCCGGAGGCCCAGCAGAGGGCTCTGAAGTCCTCGTTGCTCCATTGCTGTAAGGTCTAAGCGAAGACTGAGGAAGACCTGCTGGTCTGAACAGACAAGATTAAAATTAGGCAAAGAAACCAAGAATTTAATCAACCTCATTTCATCTACTTCAATCCACCCCGGTTCTGCCACAGCATTTCTGAGTTTTGATTTATAAAAGGCGAAGGAAAAGGAGAGAGAATTCTCTGGAAGGAGCATATGCTGCACCGCGGAGAACTCCGCTCCGTCCTGACGCCATTTGGGGCGGAAGGGGAGAGACAGAGAGCGGCGACAACAAATGACGGCTGGGCCATTTGGCCGAGCAGCGGGTTCAGGCGTCCTGTAGGAGGACGGATGGAGGGACAGGAGGGACAGACAAGACATGAGGAGGGAAGAAAGATCTCCAAGAATTAAGGCTCCATGTCAGTATGCTGAGAGGACACCTATGTACAAACACTCCCTGCTGTTCGAACAGAAAGGAAGGGAGTCACTAGTGGACAGATGTTAACGAAAAGATAAAAACAAGCCGATTAAAAAAAATAATAATTATGTTAGTTAATAGAATGGCTTACTTCGCTTCTTTGGAGATGGGCTTCAGCTTTGACCTCCAGGCTCCAGGAGACTCATTTTCTGACGCTGCAAAAAAAAGAAAAAAAAAAAGTATAAAAATAAACAAACAGGAAACATCAAATCCGTTTTTTATTTTATCTTCTCTGGTCATCTTCCTTCACTAAACTGCAAAAAACCACAAAATTTTACCAAGTAATTCTGGTCTAGTTACTGGTGCTTACAAGCAAAATATAGGAGCTTATTTTAAGTCAGTAATTCCTAAATACCAGTACCAGTTCCACTGGCAGATTATTTCCCTTATAATAAAACATTTTTCCCATCTTATACATAAACAATCTGCCACTGGAACTGGTACTTGTCCATTGCCAGATTATTAAGGAGTCATTGACTTAAAACAAGCTCTTATATTTCACCGAAAAGTTACTTATTATTCAGTTATGTCTAAGGGTTAGGGTTAGGTGAACCTAACGTATTTTTACTAGAAACTACACCAAAAATACTTAATATTGTGTGTTTTTGCAGTGTAAATGTGATTTTCCAGCATATGAAAGTTTCAAGTTCATAATATCATTAAAAAATCCTTAGGCCCTACACATACACAGAATATTTGGAATTTATGCAAAATGTATAACAAAAAAACTGAAATAAAGAATCACTTATTCTGTCAATAATACATTTTTTGAATTAAAAACAAATATTTTGCCACTATGGCAATCTTAAAGAAATGGGAAAACCAAATGCATTCTGGGTTATAGTCAGGAAACAATTAAACTTGGTGCCACCAATCAAAAGAAGTAAAATTGGAGTCCAAATAATTCCAGAACCAAGAACAGTGTTGTAACTATCACACATTGTGTGGCGGTGTAAGGCTGATTTAGTTACCAGAGGGATAAAAGTTCTTCATAATGAAACTCTAGACATTTGAAACGTTGACGCAGCCGTCTGTTCTGACAGAACAACCGTCACAAACAGGCATTTAAAACTACTCTGAGATCCTGATAAAGGACAGTAAACCTTCTGGAATAATCCAGAACTCAACAAATTTATTTTTTATTTTTTAATGGACCAATGAAGCGTGTGAAACTTCGTTTTACTCACAGCCAGGTTAATGATGCAGCCACTTCATGGGCTTAAAATCATGTAGCCCAGAGGGGAAAAAATACTAAGTGGATGATTTCACACATGACCAACCAACGTTCCCCTGACAAGTTTATTACTTTTATTGGTTATTATTTGGATTCTCATCTTGCCTTAGGTCAGTGCAATGGATTTACTTATGCATTATATTTATTCTCTTCTAAATTAATTGATTTTTGTTTCAATGACATGCATATACACTGGTTAGTGGCTGAGAGGTAGGGCGTGAAATATGGTGCCTTATCCAATTTAACCAGCAGATGGCCCCGTAGGCAGCTAATTGGAAACACTTGAGCCGGTTAAGTTTGTTTTTTTTCTTGACTAGTTCAAAAAATAAAAATGAACAAATGAACAGCTTCCTTTACTGTGTCTACACTGCAGGAACACAAAATCAGATCAAGTATTCTTGGTCAAAACTTTGAAAAGTGTAAGTTGGTTTTAAAACTAACTTCTTTTGAACTGTCTTCTTTTGAAAAAAAGACAAAACTAACTTATAAGTAACTTTTCAGCAAGATATAGGAGCCTGTATTAAATCAATAATTCCTTAATATTGATGAAAAAGTACTAGTTCCACTGAAAGATTATTTCACTTATAACACTGGAAAAATGTCTTCTCATAAGTGAAATAATCTGCCAGTGGAACAAGGACTTTTTCATCAATAATATGAATTATTTACTACAAACAAGCTCCTGTATCATACTGAAAACATACTGGTAAATTTGTTTAATCTTATTTCAAGTTCAGCAACAGTACTATAATACTTGGACTTTATTCTCACAATTTTTTTACTTAATTTTATAATTTTATTTATTTTTATTTTCTTATCCTGGCCCTAATACTCAGTAGTAGAAAGTAATGTTGCAGCAAACTCTTCAACTAGAGACATTGCTGAGTCTAAGTGTCACTTCACTCCCTTTTTATTTCTGTCACAAAAAAATTCCCTCTCAAAGATTTAGTTATTTACATTGTGACTTTAAATGAATAAGATACATTCCACACCTGAATAAACCCTTTAGACTGCCATGTCAGATGAGATAACTCCTTGAAAGAGTGTGTTTAACCTGATGTGTTGTGGGAGGTTTGGGGAGGTTTCAGGCCTCCCCTGTCTGGAGTCTTGTCTGCTCCTCCGCTCCGACCAGCTGTAGACTTTTCAGGTTCTGGAGTCTGCAAATCCGCCAGGAGAGATGGGTCTGCTTTCAGCTTCACCTTCCCCCGGACGGCCCCCGTTTCAGTCTTCTTTGGCGTCTCCTCCGGAGGTCTGAACACAACAAATTAAACTCACTCAAAGTGATTCTTTATCACAAGAAGTTAGATGTGACAAAGAGTTAAAGTATGCAACTTTTCAAAAAAAAAGTTTTTTTTTGCATATTTGTTAAAACTGTCACTAAATTGTGACAGTAAAGTATCAGACAGATAATCTGTGAAAAAAAGAAAGAGCTCCTCTGCCATCTGAAGAAATACACCACTCTGTCAGAAACGGCCAATAAGAAGCAGGAGGAGGGTCTTAGTGCTGTCGATCAACCTTGCCTACAAGCCACTTACAACTTCCTCCTTCCTCTCTTTGCTTCGTTAAAGCTGGTTCACCACAACGGAGCCTGCCATGAATGTTAAAGCTAGTTAGCATGGCCAACGATGACGTGGATAAACGATTTTCCTTTAACAGTGAGTTAAAGTTCCGTTAGAACATTGAGCAGCATGTACATGATCATGATTGACAGCACCAACACCCTCCTCCAAGCTCTGTTTGGCTGTTTGTGACTGGGAGCTGTGCATTTCTTCAGATGGCAATAGCAGCTCAAGCAGAAGGTAATTTTTTCACAGATTGTCTCATGTTATACTGACAGGAGCTGTTTCCATTACAAATGTGCGCAAACCTTTGTCTATTTTCTGCCAATGTCTAAAAGAACACAATTTTGCAATTGAGGTGTTTCCATTAAAATAAGAAATACAATTAAAATCAAACATGAATAAGCTTATTCACACTAAATCATGTCAGTGACAGATGTAGACGGTTACATGAGATATATTCATAATTCAGCCAATCAGAGGAGATGTTGGCGTCTTATTCAATCATTGAAGCAATAAGCCCTTTAAACGTGGGAGTGTCTAC